CGAAGATAAAAATAACTTCGTATTCTTGTATTAATAAGAATTTTAGTTTCAGTGCCGCCAGCTTGGCGAAGAATGAGTAAAGTAAAAATTTATTTTCTCTTATTCATTTTATGGTAAATTGTAAAAATCATATGTATTAAAATTTTGTAAATGTACGTAAATACTTGAATGTTATGTAAAAGTAGAATTTAGTCTAGAAGCATAAAATTTTAGATGCTAAAAGTAAAATGCTCAAAAGCAATGAATTCAAAATTTAAGTATTAAACTGTAGATAAAGTCATGCTTTAGAGCGAAAGCCTGCATGTTTAAAGATGAATGAGGGGGAAGTTAGAATGAATGTGTTTTGTAGGGTTCTCCACCTACACTTGAATTTTTAAGAATGTTAAAGTAGCTCATTGAGTTGTAGAATGTCGAGTAAGGTGTGTCTATTTGGTCGTTGAATTCTAACAAATCATGGTGGTTAGGGGAAGTGTTGTAAGACTAAAACACGAATATTCCCGCTTTGACACCACACATGGTGGAGAGCCAGGGTAAAGTTAAATTAATGCTTGAAAAATTGAATGAATGTGAATTAAGCAATAACTAAGGAAAACGAATCGTTTAAAAACAAAAATTTATTGTGTGAAGAAAGTGTAAATTATAATGTATTTAGAAAGATACTGATACTTATTCCTTCCAGATGCTGGAAGGAAAAGACCAAGATTGATTGATGAAGTCCAGGAAAAGTTGCTGTAAGAAGAGAGAGTTATAAGTATACACAGAAATTTAGTATACAATTTGTTACATAAGATTTTTTTTTGTATGTAAACGAGGTTCTCGAGAGTTAGTTCAGAATTATAGAAACTTACAACAGGTCGTTTGTAGGACCTGCTTCCAAGTTTTCCAAATTCTGGCAGCGGCAAATGTAGGGTTTATATTTATTTTAACTAACATTTATTTTAAGTTTAAACTACCTTTCCTGTCAAGCCTTACTTTCCCCTGGAACTGCCAATGCCAGAGTATGTAAATTTTAGTAGAACGCAAAGGATTCAAATTATCAGCGGAAGTATTCTGAGTTAAATAGAAAGGAAACGAGTTCGAGGTGTGCTGTTCTTACTTCACGAGCGCGGAGGTAGTTAGCCAGAAATTGAAGAACCCCGCGGTTCGGCCTGTGTGCTTGCCTGGAAGAATTGTTAATCGTTTCAACGTGATCTTCAAGTTTGCTGAATTAGCAGCGGTATTGTAAAACGCGGTGAGGTTAGTTACTTTTAGAGAGCCTCGTAGTTAGAGTCTTGTCTTTAGTTTCTTTTCAGGTTATTATTTTTATTTTACCGCCGAGTTGGCGTAGTTTGTGAGCGTCAAGAGCACGCACTTGTAATTTATTACGTTGAATAAAAAGGGACTTAAACCCTTAACAAGACTCTGTCTTTTATCCAGTTTCAACAGTCACCTCTTGGTTGCGTGCAAGTTGGAGGCGCGCAACGCTGCAATATAATAGATTTTTTATTAGTGTTATTAAATTCACAAATGAATGAACAGTGGAAATTTCAAATATCTTACATATATTGTAATGAAAATCTGTTTAGACATATTCATCAATGTTGTTATTAAATAGTTCCAGTTATCCTTTTAATGGGGGAAAGAAGCTCGTTATTATTAGTGAAATACTTGAAGTTAATATTATATTATATAGATCAGATAAAAAATTTTCACTGAAATTATTCATTATGCTGCCCTTAATATGCCAATTGTTATTGTTTATTATGGATGCTAGAATGTATCATAGTTCTTAGTTTAAATAATCAGTTCTTTTTTATTTTAGTTTTGTTTCATTCAAATTAATTTCCTTTATTTAACTTTTAATATGTAGAGCATCTGAGTACTAGAACACCTTATCATTTCTCTTAATCTGAGTTTTATGTAACTGTTTATCTTAGCATTCATCATTTAATGACTTTTATAAGCCTGCTGAAGTTTTAAGTTTGTGTTTGGCGATAACTTGTGGCACATATAATCTTTCAGTTTGTGCATCATAAAATCTACCACGTAATCATCTCAGTAATACAAGATGCGTCTAAAAAGTTCAGTGAATGGATAGATATCTTGTAAACAACACAAGTTAAAAATGCATACTTGCGCATGTGGATGAGATGGAGAGACGGCATATAGCAAGAAGTGCGAAAAACCGAGTCAGAATTGTAAAGCAAAAAATACATGTATGACTGGTTTAAATGTTTTTGGAAGGGAAGCTGTGAATGACAAACCATATTCAGTTTGACCCTCAACAAGTGTGACGACCAACAACATCGAGCGGGTGTGACAGATGCTGTTAAACAATCGCCGACTGTCTTTACAATGAATATTGAAGGAATTCGGAATCAGCAAAGGACAGTGTTAATACTATCATTCACCAATACTCACGTATGCGCAAGATCTGTTCCTGTTTTGTGCTGCACTCATTTTCCAATGAGCAGAAGGAAACACGAATGCATGCTGCTAAAGATTTCATTGACACGTATGACCAAGATTGAACATTTCAGAAAATCATCATCACAGGAGATGAGAGCTGGTGCTACAAGCATGATCAAACGGCAAACAGTGGATGGGTGCTGACCACCTTCCCTGCACACCAAATAGAGTCGCCTACAGAAGTTCAGAATAAAAGACACTCCTGATTGCATTTTGACTGCATATGTGCTTCAGTCGATCCCAAAAGAGGCTTTCACTGAATCATTCCAGCAGCTTTATCAACAGTGTAAGTATATTGTAACCAACGGATATTACTTTGAGGGTGATTAAAGGCATTTTGTTTCCATGTCTTGTTTTATGCTTCCATTCACCAATTGTTTTAGACGCACCTTGTATATATATGTTGTGCGATATGCATGGAACTAACTTAATTGTTTACTTGTGTTTAGTGTTAATATTTCTAGATCAAATGCTCCTTTAACAAAATAGAAGCTTGATCATTGCAGTTGGTTTATTAATTAAGTAATTGTTGATAATATTGAATACAAAGCATATAATAAAATTATTAATATTTATTTTTAGGTTCTAGTTGCCTTGCGATTTTTCGCAGCCGGCTGCTATCAAGAGCCTGTTGGCAGTGATTTTACCTTAAATGTAAGTCAGGCAACTGTTAGTAGATGCATTACTGCTGTCAGTTCAGCAATTGCACATAACCTGGCACAGAAATGTGTTAAATTTCCTACAACAGAAGAGGCTCAGCAGCCAATTAAAGCAGAATTCATGCAGAAGTTTGGGATGCCAGGTGTTATAGGTGTGGTGGATGGAACTCATGTGGCCATAATTACACCAAGTTTGCTGGAAAGTGAGCATCCGCCAGAAGCGTATATTAACAGAAAGAATTATTCTTCCATTAACGTACAGCTTGTAAGTATCTTCATAATTATATTCTATTTCTTTTGTTTTACAATTTCTAAGTCTTAGCTTTTTGCATGCATAAAGCGTAATGTAGCCCCCTAAAAGAATCATGTGCCTGATTTTTTTTCCTTCTCATTTATGGAATTTTGCTGCAGAATAGAGAATTTGTGTAATGCTCTGACTTTTTTTTTTTTTTTTTTTTTAGTAAAAACAGATTATTAGATAACTTATTCAAAAAAACAATAACCAATTTTAAATGTACTATTTAAAAACATATATCCATTATTATTATTATTATTATTATTATTATTTGGCTGAGGGACACCTGTTTAATACCTTCTTTAAATCATAGATATTGTAACACGTTTTCGTTTTCTTAAAAATGATATAAATAAGTCAAACATGCAATTCTGATGATTTCAGTTATATGTTTCAAAAAACCCTTCTCTTTTAGTGTATAAAAGGAAAGAAGAGTATTTACCTCTGTTTGACTACACATTTAATTTCGCGACATTTTCTGAAACTACAGGTTGTGGCAGAAAGAATTATCCAATTTCGGAATAGCATAGCTACGATTTGTGCAATGATGGAGAATGTATCAAAGAGTGACTTGTGTGCTGTTTTTGAATTAACCATAGATTTTCTCGGTAAAATATTTTGCTTTCGTTGTACAGAAATTTATTCACAATGTATATCTGTACAATTAAAGAGAAAGTAATAGCACATAAAAGAAGGCAAATTAAAGAACTTACAAACATTGAGCATTATATATATATATATATATAAATTTTAATTCTCTGGAGGTCATAAAAGCTTAATGATTTCATATTTTGAATTATATAATTTCAACATGTTGTCTGTCTTAATTTAAATTCATAATTCATAATGTTTGGAATCGAAGTCCTGACAAGTGCAGATCTTGGACTCTGTATTGTATATATATGTGTGTTTATAAACTTTGTTTTGATGAAACCGTACTTCATATAGGTGTGTGATTCCATTTAAACATATTGAACGTGAATGCCAAATTCCCAGGGATAACCATATTCATATGGAAATCATCCAAGTGCCAAGAATTTCTGCTGACAAATCACAGGCGAAACAGAAACAACTGGCTGCTTGGTAAGAAGATATTTTGCCTTTTACTTTCAGAACATTTCATTCTCTCATGAATTCTAACTGCTATGTTTTAGATTTATGGAGAAAATCACAGTTTACATAACTTTTATTAATTTCTTTTAGTAAGTTACTTAATCTTCTGTTTTTCAGTTTAATGGAATGACTGCTAAATAATTTATGAATATAAAAAAAGTATTTCACCAAAAAAAAAAAATACATCCAAATGACTGTTATTTTTTCTTTAGGAGACAGTGGTTATCCTTTGGGGCCATGGCTTCTCACACCAATAAGAAACCCACAAACTGCAGGTGAGGAGGCACTGAATAGGAGATTGCTGTCAGCTCGAAATAACATAGAGCGATGTAATGGATTGCTGAAATCCAGATTCAGATGTCTGTTGAAAGACAGAGCATTTCATTATCATCCAACAAAGGCAGCACAGATTATCACTGCATGTGTTGTTTTGCACAACATCCTGTGTTGCAAACAACATTGAATATCTAGAACCAGTAATAGAAGACGATTACGTTCCACAACCTGCAGATAACAGTTCCGGTTCACTGTTGAATGAAGGCAGAGAAATACAGCAAAACTTAATTCGCTTATTAAGGCGCTAGGTAAATTTTCTCCTCTTTTAATTATATTAACTAAAAATTGTGAAAGATTTATTAATTATATTTGCCGTATGTTTAATGTGTATATTATCAATTTAAATGAAACTTGAACAATAATTTTTAGCTGTATGTAAATTTTGGTTTGGAATAGATTTGTGAAAATTTAACTATTTATATGAGAAATGTTTAAAATAATTATTATAAAAGAAATTTTTGGAAACTGAATATGGGAGTCTATTTAAGTTATAATAATCTAAAAACTGTGAAAATTAAAGCTTGGAATTTTCTTATATTAAAAACTGGAAGCTATCACTTATTTTCTTTAACATTAGTAAATGTGCCCAATCCTACTATGTGCAACAAAAAATTCTTAGTCATAGCCCAAGAATGCATCCCTTAAAAATTCTAATTTGTGTTAACTTTGTAAGGATTATGTTAATTTTATTAACAGTTAAATTTTAAGTTCCTTTCCTGTCAAATTCTTAACTTACTACTTCCGCCCAGAACGTAGTTTTGGAATTTGCTGAATATTTAATGAGAAGGAGTGGTATTTAAACCACGAAGTTACTTACCGAGACAGAGAGAAACAGAGTTTTTGAACTACGCGCGTCTGCCTTTTTGGCCGCTCTCTCTCTCTCTCAAAGCTGTTATACGCTCGGCCGTACTCAGGCCCTTGCTAAGCTTCGTAGTAAAATAGGTTAAGGGGCCAACGCTCATTGTACCTTGATAGCTTTGGCTATACTTAGTTAGTTAATCTTAGTTTTAGTTTAATTCTTAGTCTTTTAAGTTCAAGTCCAAAGTGCGGACTTTATTTATTCACTCCCAGGCGGAGTCTTGTTAAATCTTGTAGAAATAATAAAGGGTTATTTACCCTTCTCTCTTGTTGTTTCCTGTCTTCGAACTCTAGCGATTATTCGCTTATCAGTTCCTAGGTTCCTCACTTCCAACATTAACTTAGAATTTCAAGTAAGGGACCTTACAATTGGCGCCCGAAAAGAATTCTAAACGGACCATGTCGTTAGAGTCCGGGAAGTTTACGTTGACCCCTCCGACCTTTCAGGTCCCTACAACATCCACGAATCCAGTAGAAGGGTTTGGATTCCTCATGGAAACGCTGCATGCAGCCATGAAAAACACCCACACTTTTCGATGGCAAGGGCTCAGTCCTGACATTTTTGGAGCAACTAGACCTACATTTTACTTTACACCCTGTGAATCAGCTACAAAAGTGATCATCGCTACGACAGCGTTAAAAGGTCAAGCCCTTAGCTGGCAGAAGAGTATAGGAAAGTTCTTGTTGGGGGACACAGGATCTAAATCATATAACTGGGAAAATTTCAAATCTGCATTAATAAAAGCATTTCCAGTGGTTAAAGATCGTGCGAAGCTTGAAAAAGAATTGTATAGTAAATACCAAGGCGGTTTCGAGGATTTGACAGAGTTCATTTTAAGAAAAGTACATATTTTTAATTTATTATACGGGAAAAGGCCCGATAAAGAAATTATCGAACTAATTCTACCGCGTCTTCTACCGTCAGCGCAAGGTTTTCTCGAAGTGCGTAATCCGCAAACGTTGGAAATTCTGTTCCAGCTTGCAATGAAATTTCAAAGTAGAAGAAACGCAGAGAAAGCGCGTGCAAGTCCGTTTGGCCAGTACTCAAGATTTACTCCCCAAAAGAAACCGTAAGTTCAGTACAAGGCATATCGGCAGACGGGAAAAAGTGAAAAGTTTAATAGCAAGAGCGCAGATAAATCTAAGGGCGGTGGATATAAAAATCAGCGAAAAGAGGCGGCAGGTAACCAGACTTTAAATGCAAACCGGTGATCGAGAAGGGGCAACGGTCACCGAATAGGACAGAAGACCCCTCAGAAATTTGTCTAAATACAGTCGTAGTACAAAATCTTGCTATGCCAGAGATACGGATTTTGGTAAATAATGTACCAACCACTGCACTCCTGGACACAGGGACACAATGTTCATTCCTATCGGAAAATTTTTTCAAAAAACATTTTCGTCGTTACAGACTGTTTAAAGCCACGGGACAGAAAGTAATTGCCGCCCAAGGCAAACAGTGCGTATGTTTGGGGAAAACCGCACTGCATGTTCAGATTAAAAACGAGGTCCTAAAAATTAATTTTTTAGTCGTGAAAAATTTACTCACATCAGTGATATTCGGGATCGATATTTTACGCGCACCCGGCGCAAATCTTAATTTTCAGGATTCTACGTTTCAGGTGCACATGGACCCGGTACAAGAAGATGAAGTTTCCATGCCGGAATTGAATCTGGAACATTTGAAGTTAGAAGAGAAAAAGAAGATTGAAGAATTGGTAAGAAAATTTAATTCTTTGTTTAACGAAAAACCTGGGTTTTGTCAGGTAGTTAGTCATTCCATAGACACTGGGAATGCTCCTCCAGTCCGGTCAAAACCTTAACGTTACGATAAAGTAAAAGAAGAAATTTTGGAAACCCACATAAAAAATATGTTAAAGAATAAAATAATTGTACCAAGCACGAGCCCTTACGCAAGTCCGGTGGTCCTTTGTAGAAAAAAGAACGGGCTACCGCCTGAACACCCGTACGCGTATAGGTTTGGAGTTGATTATCGTAAGTTAAACAGTATGTCAAAATATCCCACATATTCCCTACCAATAATTGATGAAATTACCAGAAACATTCGCTCGACTAAATTCATGACAACCCTAGACCTCACGTCGGGTTACTTCAAATAGCCGTGAAGCCGGAGGATGTCCAGAAGACCGCGTTTATAACAAAGTCAGGCGTCTATGCCTTTTTAAGAATGCCCTTTGGTTTGAGCGGAGCGCCAGCTACGTTCCAAAAAGCTATGGACATAGTCTTAAAGCCAGTTTTAAGTAAAAGCACAATAAATTATTTTGACGATATCATAGTTACCAGCGAAACATTAGAAGAATATTTGAAACAAGTTTTTGCCTTACTTAACGAGGCCGGTTTTAAAATAAATGCAAGTTTGCGGCGAAGGAATTACGATACCTCGGGTACAAAATCTCAAATAAGGGAATAGAGACTGATTATTCAAAAATTAAGTCAATTAAAAGTTATCCTCCCCCAAATAGGGCTAAGAAATTGTCTTCATTTTTGGGCTTAGGTTCCTATTATAGAATGTTCATGAAAGACTTTGCGAAAATAGTTTAGCCTCTTCTAGTGCTAAAAAGAAAGAAAAGTAGATTTTCTTGGACAGCCGAAGCGGACACCGCGTTTGAACAATTAAAGAATGCCCTAATCAATGCCCCAGTCCTTAAATTCCCAGAAGGCGAGCAAGGTCTAGAAATTTCAGCGGTTGCATCCGATTATGCAGTTGGAGCGGTGCTCTCCCAAAATAGGCAACCTATAGCTTTCTTTTCGAAAACCTTGAATGCTACGCAAAGAAACTATTCCTCTACTGAGCGAGAAACGCTCGCTGTGTTATTAGCAGTTCAGAAGTTTCGGGTCTACTTCGGAAGTTCACCGATAACGGTCTACTCAGATCATGCGGCAGTGGGTAGCTTGTATTCAGGAAAACAATTTATCGCCTCGCTTGATACGTTGGACTTTAAAAATTACAAGAGTTCAACTTAATTATAAAACATACTCCGGGAAAGGAAAACTTGGTCGCCGATGCCCTTTCGCGAATAAAAATTGATGAAGAGTGAAACACTATCAAGTGTGCCATGCTCACCTCAAGAGTTATTGAGTCCCGTGAAACGATAATCGAAGAATTAAAAAAGGACCCAGAGTTTAAAGACATTTACATTTTACACAAAAGTAACTGATGAAAATCAGGAATACCGACCAGTAATCCCAGCGAGTCTACGTTTAAGTATCTTAGAGGAGTTGCACGAATCTACCATCTGCAGCGGACATTTCGGATACGAAAAACACTAACGAGGGTACGCGAAGCGGTTTATTTTCCGCAAGTTACAGAAAGTTATTACGGCGTATGTTAAGTCGTGCCATATGTGCCAATTGAATAAACGATGTTAATTACAGCCCGTCCGAGGTATTTAAAAAACATAAAGACCCCTTTTCCAAACGAAATAGTTGGAATAGATTTGCTAGGACCCTACCCTAGGGACAAAAATAAATAAAAACAGATATATTTTAACAATCGTTGACCATTTTTCAAAATGGGTAGAAATAGTCCCTCTTAAACGAGCTTCAGCTAAAATAGTCGCAGATTCTTTCTTAAATAAATATATATTAAAATACGGGGCCCCACTAAAAGTAGTATCAGATAATGTAAAACAGTTTGTTAGTAGTATATTTAAAAATTTGTGCACAGGACTTGGCATACGCCATCTAAAAATGGTACCATATAGACCGCAGTCGAATATAGCGGAACGCGTGAATAAGAATATTGTAAAAATTATCAGAGGATATGTGAAAAACTTTCATGACCGCTGGGACAGCTGTGTGAGTTAGGTTTTGCCTTGAGAACCGCAAAGCAGGATACTACCCAGAAAACCCCCGCGGAGTTATTTTTAGGAAGAAAAATCATAACGGCGTTGGATAAGCTATTCTTTGTACAACAGAGACAAGAAGAATTTAAGTTAAAAGACGTTCAAAAAATTATTCACAAAGCTATTAAAAGTTCTGATATAGCAAGACAAAAACAAAAGATTTATTATGATAGAAATAGAAGGGAATTGGAATATTCAGTGGGACAAAAAGTGCTGAAGTTGAAATATTCGTTATCGTCGGCACCAGAAAACAGAGTGGCGAAGTTTGAGCCCAGGTTTGAGGGGCCGTACGTGGTGGAAAGAATAAGAGAAGCTACGTTTTATTTAAAGGCCGAAAATGGCCAACAACTGGTGGCAAATATCGATCAGTTAAAACCTAATTACAGACGCACTGACTTTAAAATATTGCAGGATTTATTACAGGATTCTGGAAGTAAGGAGAGAAGCCCGCCAGCTCAGGAGTACAGCTCGAGTCCCCCAATGCAAAAAAGAAAGCAGAGCCAACAAACTTCGACCAGGGAAACCCATACCACTAAGGCTAAAAGCGCACAAAAAAGAGGAAATTAACACCGACAGATCAACGAGTCAGAACCCAGGATGCTGCAAAAACTCAAGTGCCATCGACCACACGAGGGAGGCCTGCTGACAAGGTTCCAGGAAAGGAGAAAATTCAACGACGAATTGAAAGTAGACGTAAACCACAGTTTCCAGCATCAACAACTACAAGGCAGACCCAAGGATGACCAGCGTGGAGACCGAAAAGCCAGAAAAGACCTGTAGACACAACCGTGCCGGAGCAACAAGTTAGAAGGGCCAAGAGAAGATTCAAAGACCCTGAAGGACGGAGAGCCCCACCGGAGTCAAAAAGGAAATTGGCATTCCAGAATCCACAACTAACCCGGAAGAGTCCCAGATTCCTACATAAAGGACAGAAAAGGAAAGCACTGGAACTGAATGGAGCGAACATCGAACATCGAGAAGAAGAGTGGAGGTTATCAGGTTTTCTACATTTGATAAATTCTGTAAAGACAGGATGCAGGAGTACAGAAAAAGATAAGTGAAAATTTCTTTGCTAATTTTTCTTTGAAGTTCAAATTATATCATACTGTTATAAGTTGCTAAATCTGTGTACAAAATTTAAATCGCAGATAGCGATATTTTGTAAATGTTCGTAAGCATAGATTTTTATGTTAGTAATTTGGCGAGAAGCTACTAGCGTTAAATACTTTTTGTTAAGAACTCGCAAGTTGCGAGAAGTAAGTTCTGAATAAGTTTAGTCAGAAGACTATTGGAATACTATAATATGTTAACGTAAAGTTAAGATTTCGTGTAAATTTTGGTAAAGTGTAATTAAGCAACTATTATTGTTGATGTAAAATGAATTCAAAAGTGATGCGTAAATATTTAAATGTTCATGTTCATGTAGAAACGTTTGATCTTTGTGTTGAAATATCGTAAAGATTAAAATGACAGAGAAAAGAAATATTTATTTCTGTGTATGGGAGTTACGGAAGAATGGAATGTTTATATATGTGTGTTTAATGTTAGCTCTCCAGTTAAAACGTTTAAAAGTAAAATATAAGCTTTTGCTTACAGTAGGAAACCGTTTTCGTGTAGGGAGTCTTGGCAGGTCTAGTCTGTCAAATTTAACAAAGTTAGGTGTTGTGTAGCGGTAGTTTGTTCGCGGTAACACAACATAGAAGATCCTAAGTACATTTCAGTACATTTGCTGGAGAGCATGGGTGAAATAAATCTGTAGATGACTGAAAGTGCATAAGGTCCAACTAATGAATTAAAATCATAAAGCTAGGATTTAAAGTAAAGTTTTGTAAAAATGCATTACTAATGTCATTTCCTTCCAGATGTGGAAGGATCAAGACCTGAAATAAGTCTAGCCGAATAAAGAGTATGTAGGAAGAAGATTTATGTCAAGATATAATGTCCAGAAAGAATGCATTGTAAATTTTTATTTTTCCTAGCTTTAGTCTAGCTTTTAGAATTGTTGTAAAGTTGCCCTAAAAACGAAACTTTAAAGTCATTAGTTAATGTAAAAGTTGGAAGAGTGTAGTTAATGTAAGTTTTCAGACTTTAAGTCTTAAACAAGGTCGTTTTTGAGACCTTCTTTTTTCGAGTATTTAAAGTCTGGTTGGAAGCTAAGTAAGGATTATGTAATTTTATTAACAGTTAAATTTTAAGTTCCTTCCTGTCAAATTCTTAACTTCACTTACTACTCCGGTCAGAACGTAGTTTTGGAATTTGCTGAATATTTAATGAAAGGAGCGTATTTAAACCACGAAGTTACTTACCGAGACAGAGAGAACAGAGTTTTTTGAACTACGCGCGTCTGCTTTTTGGCCGCCTCTCTCTCAAAGCTGTTATACGCTCGGCCGTACTCGGCCCTTGCTAAGCTTCGTTAAAATAGGTTAAGGGGCCACTCTCATTGTACCTGATAGCTTGGCTTTACTTAGTTGGTTAATCTTAGTTTTAGTTTAATTCTTAGTCTTTTAAGTTCAAGTCCAAAGTGCGGGACTTATTTATTCACTCCCAGGCGGAGTCTTGTTAAATCTTATAGAAATAATAAAGGGTTATTTACCCTTCTCTCTTGTTGTTTCTGTCTGGAACTCTAGCGATTATTCGCTTATCAGTTCCTAGGTTCCTCACTTCCAACATGAACTTAGAATTTCAAGTGAGGGACCTTACAATTTGCTAATATTAAAGTTGCTGTATTATTATTATTTTTGGTTCCTTTTTTAGATATATAGCATTGCTGGGAAGTCAACTTAAAGTGTATTGCTGTATATATTGTATTACATACTGTAAATATTGTGTTAAATAAAAGCTTATTTTTCATATACATTTTTCTTTTTTAGATAATAAATAGTCAGACCACAATTTATTGCTACTAATCATATTTTTATGCAATAAAATAAAGCATTAGAAAGCTAAGGAATTGACATATTCGTTTTCACAATTGCAGAAAGAATTAGGTTAAATGCACATTTATATCCATATATTACGATGCTTCCAAGAACAAAGATTTAATATTATTTCTCACAATTGTTAGACTTTTTCATCCAGAAACAGGAATTAAAATTAGGATATTAGATTTTGTTTGATTGTCGGGTGACTTTTTTTTAACCCAATGGCAGATTGTGAACAGTTACAGTTTTGTGACAGAGTCCATTAATTTATACTAAGGGTATTCTAACCTAGGCCCTTAGGTATCGCAGTCAGGCTCCCCTAACCACTATACCGTCTGGGTGTCTGCCGAGTGAAACTTTATAAATGATTTTTTATTAAATAAGTACTATTTTAAAAAAGAATACTTTGAACAATAATTTTATTGTTGATACTAACGCAAATTTTGGTGGAAAAGCTAGAAGAGGTATCAATAATGTTTTTACGAAACTTAACCAGCAGATGTTGAAAATTTTATTTCAAAAATTTATTCGTATATTTATACATATATACTGTGTGTGTCGAATGTTTGAAGGATTTTACAGAAAGCGTAGAAATCGAATTTAAAAGAATTATTGGTTACAGCAAAATACGAGAAACTCTTTTACCAGCTGTAGAAAATATTTTTAAAATAATACGAACCATTAAAATCATACTTTTTATCACAAGATAAGTGTCGAAGAATATTGCAGCTGTTTTTTGAAAATGACACATCACAAATTTGGCTTCAGTTCATCCACAACCAAACTACATTATTACATCGTGAAATCATGAAGGGACAAAGTTCAACGGAGTGTCAAATGAAATATGATTTAGAAACAAATTGTGAGAAAGAATATAACGATTCGTTTGTTTTTTTATTCGACGGACATCATTATAGGGAAAGAACCGTGCCATATTAAACACCGATTTCTGAAAGTGAGATTTTTTTAACGTGAATAACTTGAAGAACGGCAGTTCAATTCAAGGATATTAAAATTTCATGGGTGACATTAAAAGGAGATTTTATGGAATATGTAGAAATTTTTTTTAATATAGTAACTATTTCCAAAATATTTTGCGAAATGATCTTTTTGATAGTCTCATTGGTAAAAGATACGTACTGATGAAATTTCTTTGGTGTCTGAATGTGGAAACGAAAAAAATGGACGTAGTTATTCCTCATTTTAAACGAATAATATATCTCAGAAAATTTTTGCAATTGTAAACACACGTCTCCCTTCAGGAGAATGCAGCAACAAACGGTTTTTCTAGTAAAACAAATATGGACAATTGAAAAAGACAGTTAAACATAAAATTTAAATCTGTATAGCTAAAATAATGTGATGATTAGTGAGAGTTTCACGACATTGTAAAAATGATCCAATCTATGCAAGTATTCACTCATAAACAATTACTTGTGAAAGAACTTATAATTTTTCTTAAATAAAATATTAATTAATAAAATATTAATTATTGTGTTTACAAATTTTTATAGTTACATGAGTTAATATAAATAATTTTGTTATTTATAGACCGTATATGAATGTATATAATAAAATATATTTTTAAAAAGTATTGGTCTGCTTTCATAACTAAATTACAATTCTCATTTTATTCCAATTGTCCCGCTTGGTCTCAAAATGTGGTCACTTTAAGTTATGCAAATTCTATTTCTTCAATTTCAAAGTGATAGCTGATATGTATAATATAATTTCAAATACTCTTAACATTGCAATGTGAAATAAATAATAGCTTTTACAAAAGTATTACAATAAACATTTCAGTTTTTATTTAAATCCTTTTTTTTATTTTACATTAAGTTAATTTTGCTGCAAGTTTTTCCAATACACAAGTCATACGTATTAGAGCCTTTGTCTGGTCTTTAATTGCCTCGGTTAATTCTGACGTGGCTTCTGCCTGCATCTTTTGGAATTCAGAAAAATTTCTGGCGGCCCTTTCAACAGGCAATTCTCTTCGCCGTCTGTTCCCTGTAAAATGTATATTACACGAGTATTATTTAGCAAGGAATAGAAAATGGTACACAATATTTCTAAAAATGTTAAATTTTCATATTTTCCATTGACATGGTGTAGCTAGGTGGAGCAAGGAGGGAATCTGTCCCTGGTGCAGCATCCAGGGGCACAATGAGTTACAAAGTCTTGCACCTGAATGGCACAGATCTTAGGTGTCTCGGCACTGGATACCGTAGCTACACCTCTGTCCATTGGAAAAGAATATCTGGTAGAAAATTGTAGTAAAATCAAAGATATATTTAACTTACGATTCTGGCCGTTTAAAAATGCTTGGTGTGGAGTGGAACGTGTTATGGGAGTATTTGGGGATGCTCCTGATGAATCACAGACTAATTAAAAAAAAAAAAAAAGAAATATTAATAATCATATAATTTAATACAAAGGATAGTTATTGATTTCAATCTATTAAGGTTACAAAGTAATATTATTGTGAAGGATATTTTTCAAACAACCAAATTGCAGCTTCCCCTTCTTCTAGGAAAACTTAATTTAAAACTATGCAATAATTAGTTAATAATATACATTACTATCTACTATGATGAATTAGTAATATTACATTTCTGCTATAATAATATAATTTGATTGCTAAAGCAACTAATAAAAATGCCATTTAAAGTTCCGTGGACTTACGTTGACTATTTCATATAATCGGAAATGTGCTACATTTCCCAATGATTATAAAAAACAAAAACAATTAGTAATCATTAACATATATATACACAATATTTCAGATTCTTGCTGACTTTTTTTAAGGCATCACACTGGTATGCGAGGTGAACTTACATAGTGAAACAATGCAATAGAATGGACCAACGGCCAATAGGTGAACCTTGGGGCATACAGAAGCATGGTCAATATGGAACACGAATTAGGGGCGAATGTGGAAGTTGAAGCCACGACGTACAGGCTCCATTTTGTGAAGTTATTGCATGAATAAGTGAAGTTACACTGAGTTGCTACTAGATATGGCACAGCAATCCAGGAGATTAAGCTGATTTTACTCGATCAAATTTCGAAGCTGGAAGAAGGTGAATTGTGCAAGTGTGGCGAAGAGTATGGTTTCTCACAGCATCATTTCCGAGCCTGCAGAGTATTCAAAGGCAGAACTCTCCAGGAGTCAACAAGTCGTCCATAAGTATCAATGGCTATGGAGGAGTGGTATATTGTGCTAAGGAGTGACAAGAGGCAGTCAAGAGATATCGCCAAACATAAGCAACAGACTAATGTATGTCTGATGTCGCATTTTTCCATGCCAGGAGACTGAATAAATATGGTGACAGCATTTTATGAAGTATATGTATGCACACAAAAAAAGTTTCATTTCTAATTACTTACCTCTCTTCTGGAATAACACATTCACATACAATAATAAGTTCTTCCATTGGTGTACTTTGAAAAATGTCAGTATTAATTCCTTCCTCCATTGTTGACGTTTCATCAGCATTTTCTGTCTATCAAATTCATAATAAAAGGGCAGTCAGTTTTCATTTGAAGATATAATTTGCAACTTCAATATTATATTTACTGTAAAATTTACCATATACTATACACATTGCTATAATTGAATATATATATTGAGAATAGCAAACTAGCAAAATATTTAAATGGGAAAGAAATAAAAAATGATAATGTATAAAAGGGACAGCTGTATTAATATAGGTGTAATATTTATTACCTGAAATCCAATTTCTTTAATTTCAGGATTGCCTTCTGTGTGTATTGTACCAATCATGGTCATCAATGTTTCATCCTCAATGCTGAGGCGATTAATTGTGGGACCTCCACCTCCTGTTCCTCTAGCATACTGCTTAAGTTTTACATACTGCGAACGAACAGTGGATTTCCAGTTGTTCCATGTCTGAAAATAGCCAAACAAATAATAAATTCTTTTGTGACAGTATAGAAATTTAAGATTTAAAGTATGGTAATCAATATCTCATATTTATAATTTGTTATATGAATTGAATTATTACTTCCTCCTTCCAACATATCATTATTTGCATCAGACTAA